AATCGATGCATTGTCTTGCTTTTCTTCTATTTTACCAGGTAAAATCCTGACTGATGATTTCGCTGATAAAGAAGGTCTAGAGATGGGTGACGAGTATTTTGCTAACCTGGACCACATTGAGAGTGTGGAGAACTTCAAGGAAGGCTACGAGAGCGAGGCGCACTGCTCCGACAGCGAGGGCAGCGGCGTGGACGTGTCCAGAATGAAAATCCAGCCGTCCGCTTTAGTCTCCAGCAGCGCTGCGAGGAAAAAAGGTGAGTCCTAATCCAAACACATGATGTCTCTGCTGCTTTTATTTACAACCTGCAGGCATTTTATCGTACGTGTTTCCTCGTCCCGCAGCTCAGAGCTCCAGCTCTTCAGATGACAGCAACGACGAAGAGGAGAAAGATTCAAAGAGTGAAGATGAAAGCGACAGCTCTGATGACACTTTTGTGAAGGACAACTACTACACCCCCAGCTCTGTGTGGAGGAGTTACACGACTCGTGGTCAGGCCAAGGGCAACAAAGAAGGTACTGCAGATCCATCGCTGATGATCAAACTCAGCAGTAGGGGTGCAATATAGAGCTCTGGAAAAAATTAAAAGCCCACTGCAGGGTACCTCATTGAAAACCTCATGGCTTTTCCACCAAATATTAATTTCTGAACTCTTCCTGAGTTAAAACATTAGTGCTGTTGTCTCTAAATTAATAGCAACTTGTTTTCTTTGCATTGCTTGAGGTCTGAAAGCATTGCATTTTTTTTTCGTTATTTTGACCATTTTCTGCAAATGAAAACTAAATTTTTGCTTGTAACTTCAGAGACATGTTGTCAGTAGTTCATAGAAAAAAAAAGAATAATGTTCATTTTACTCAAATATATTCCTATAAAAAGTAAAATCAGAGAAACGGATCATTTTAAGTAGCATCTCCAATTTTTTCCAGAGCTATATATATAAATTATTGTTATATCTGTCATTTGTCCTTTGCATGCTAAATACAAATTAGCTTTTTGTTTTTTTTGTTTTTTTTAATAAAAACTGACATTTTAGAAAAACCCCTATAGCTCACTGTGTCAGTCTTATTTAGAGGAAATCAGCACATATTACTGAGCCCTGATAGTCTTACCTTGAAGAAACCGCTTCAATATTGCTAATAGGTAACGTCTAAGGTTTGGGCCATTTCCTCTCATCTTTTATTGACTCGCCTGCATTTAATGCTTAAGGGTTATTAAAAATGTAAATTTGACAGAACAACTTATTTTACCACCCAGTGATAAACAGTTTTAATATGCCAACAACATACCAGCTAATGTTAAAACACCAAGATGAATGCGAGTAGCCATGCTTTGCCTTATTACTGCCTGATTGTTTTGCTAAATAAAGTTCATTCTTGCTCTCCTGCTGCAGGGAGTCAGGACAGTAAAGACGGACTGAGTGTCTCAGCCAAAGGTCAGGATGATGAGAAACCGCCCTCGATGCCAGAGGAGACGGGGAAAAGCAAAGTGGCTTCCTGGTTAACAAGCCAGGGTCTGAAGAAGGTCAGTAAAATAAAACAAATAATCTTAAGCCATGAGATTATTTTACATCATGATGTGTCCGGTCGCCACATGAAACAAACTCTGACTATATATTTTTTTGGGTGATTTTTGCTTCAATACTCTGTTCTCTCTCCAACAGGAAACTGGAGACAAGAGGTGTGCTGAAATTCTCAAACTGTCCCTAAATTTTATAGTTTTATTTTGTTTTTGTTTTTTTTTCATTTTAAGCTTTAATTTTACACCAAAATTTCCAACCGTGTTGAGAATATTCTTATTCTGCAGTCAAATAAAGACAGAGCAATCAAAGAAACAGGACGTTATGACTCTATCGGACAGCGACGATGTTCAAACCATTAGCTCCGGATCTGAAGACAACAAAGAGAGAGAGAAAGCTACTCCAGGTAAACGTAGTTAAAAAGCAAACACCAAATCTTTACTCTACATGTTTCATGACTTTCCCCACACTCTTCTTCGCTGGAGCTTCTGTATCTGGCGTGACCAAGAAGCAGGTGGCGGTGAAATCCACGCGAGGCATCGCCCTGAAGAACAGCCACAGTTTGATGGTGAAGCCGTCTGGGGGAGGAGTCGGGCCCAGCGCTCAGGGGAGCAAACCCGGCCACCAGGGGCAGCCTGGAGGAGGGGCAGAAAACGCTCCCAAAAACACCCGGCTGTTCTTCGACGGCGAAGAGTCCTGCTACATCATCGATGCCAAGTTGGAGGGAAATCTGGGACGTTACCTCAACGTAAGAACGTTTTCTCTGTCATTAAAAAGCAGCTTTCTGGGATCCGAATTGACATGCTCTTCTGTTACCTGCATTACAGCACAGCTGCAGTCCTAACCTGTTCGTCCAGAACGTGTTTGTCGACACACACGACTTGAGATTCCCCTGGGTGGCGTTCTTCGCCAGCAAGTGAGTTAGAAATGGGTGCATTTCGTCATATTGGGGATTTACAGTTTAAACATGGTCTGTAAGTGCTGTTGTGACATACTAATGAGGGAGTGTCGGAAAGATTAGGAGGTTCTTAAAGAGACAGAGGCCAATTTCATGGATATGACTGTGAAGCAAAACCAGTGAAATTTTAATTTATTTTGAACATATAAAAAATTTCAAAAACAGCTGGGGGTAAGATAGTTTTAAGCTTTAAACATTTCCTCTAGAAAAGAATCTGGAAGCAACCAAATGTCGTAAAACTGCAAAAGCGTTCACATCTCTTCAACTTTTCAATATTACAACCTCATTACAGCTCAGTTCTGGTTTAATGGGACACACAAACATGGTGGCAGCAGCACCCACATATACACAACCCATCGAAAACCTCCTGGTTATTCCACCAAACATTGATTTCTGAACTCTTTCTGAGTTAAAACATTAGTGTTGTTGTTTCTAAATGAACATGAACTTGTTTTCTCTGCGTTAGTCAAAGTCTGAAAGCACTGCATCTTTTTTTGCTATTTTGCTTGGAATTTCAGAGACATGTTGTCTGTAGTTCACAGAATAAAAGAACAATGTTAATTTTACTCAAACGTATAACTATATAGGATAAAATCAGAGAAACTGATCATGTTAAGTGGTCTCTTAGATTTTTCAAGAGATGTATTTATGTTAGAATGGCCCAGTCAAAGTCCAGGCCTAAATTCAGGTAAGAAGGATGCTGTCCTTCCAACCTGACTGAGTCTGAGCTATTTGGAAAAGAACAACAGTCAAAGATTTAGTCTCGTGTCTGCAGAAAACACCATAAACTATTTGCAGCTTGGAATTTCAGAGACATTTACAACCATAGGTTTTACACATAGAAATGTTTGCTACTCTCCTAGATTTTGATTTAAAAGTTTTGAAAACCACATAACATTTTGTTTCCACTTCATAATTACATTTTGTGTTGATCTATCACATACAATCCCACTAAAATAAATGGGTTAAAATGTGGAGAAGTTTAAATGGTGTGAATATCTTAAATTTCTATATTGTTTAATAAGAACCACAGAAGAAGACATTTCAGCTAAAGACGAAAACTCCAAATACATTGAAAGGGTAGACATAATAATTAAAAAAAAATAAATGTTTCAAAGGTTACTAAATGTTCTTTTGCTGAAGTCAACAGTGATTTTTATTCATTTATTTTGCGGCTTAAACCTGGAATTTGCTTTCGGTTCTTCCAGCAGCTCCTGTCACGATGATGGCTACATCCTAACTAAGAACTCTTTAAAGCCTTTTGGTGTCATTCAATTCAAATTCAAAAAGTACTTTATGAATCCCAAATTAAATAGTACAAAAATATGAATAATACTGCAAAAAACCAACTATGCAAAAGAAAAAAGAAGAAACTTTTGTCAGAAAAAAGCAGCTTTCCTCCAAAAAGACAGGAATGAATGTCTAACAAAGAGAGAAAATATCAATGCAAGTACAGAGCTGCTCCAATAATAACATATTAATATTGATATAATCTAGCTTCCTTCATGCTGCATTTTTTGTAGCTTTGACTTAGATTACAGACATTTAAGCTGGAAAAATCTGGTAAAAAGGTTTGGAAACCTCATGAATGTGATGGCAGGAGGTGAAATGATGGTTTACTGGCTTTTTCTCTTATATTTCTTAAAATCCGCCTCACATAGAGATGAGTGGCCTGTGATATTAAGCTTCTAATACATTTGAAGACAGAATCATTTGTTGCTGGAGCTCTGGTTAGTTGGGAGTCATTCCCAGATCAAGTTTTTATTGTCAGTCAAACAGATAAAACATTTTGTAATGGTTTGCTTCAGTTACGACGAGTCTAAATAATGCCTAATAGTTGTTGTTTTAAATTTATTTTTTTATATTGTTATATTATCTGATAAAGTTTCCTTCAGTCTCTTCCATTGATGTGTTTTACCTGGACTGTGTTGCGTTCAGGCGGATTCGGGCCGGGACAGAACTGACCTGGGATTATAACTACGAGGTGGGAAGCGTTGAAGGCAAAGAGCTGCTGTGCTGCTGCGGATCCACAGAGTGCCGTGGACGGCTGCTGTGATCCACCCGGACTTGGCCCAACACCCCCCTCAACGCCGAACCCCGTTTACTTTACGTTTTAATAAGTTGTAGGAATTTTATAGCATCTCGTTCTTTTCGTGTTTATTTTTATGTTTTTACCAGCATGTGACTCTAAAGTGTCTGATGTCGTCCATTAAATGTTTTCTTTACCTCCGAATAAAAGTTTCTTCAGTGACCGCAGCTCCTGCTTGAATTATAAGTTATTTTGTGTTTTCTGAAAAATCTCTTACGGACCAAAACGGCTGAACGTGTTTTATTTCTGTTTGCTGTGATCCTAAATTGCAGAAGTCCAGGTTCTCTCCAAACCATCAGTTTCTTTCAATTTATCAAACAGGGCAGAGAGTTTGTCCAATCAGCTCACCTCAATTCATGAAAAAAAAGAAACATTTGTCTTTAGCTTAAGAGTCAGAGCAGAAGCTGGATGCTCTCTGGTTTGCTGGAACATTTTGAACATGTTTTACTACCCGGCTGTTTTAAACCGTCGCTCAGGATGTTTCTCTACCATCTGGTGAGTGAAATCTTTTAAATCCTTTCAACAGTCCAGTGATTGCATTTTCAATTTGAACTCGTAATATGTACATGTATGTTCCCACTATGATTCTTGGAGAGTTTTTTTTTAAATTATCATTATTGAGGTTAATGTGTTGCATTGCTACTTAGAAAAAAAATTAAAAAACCTCTCTGGTGAACTCTTTTAGTGATTTACACTAACTTGATATCTGTCATTACAAAAGAGAAAAAGTCAATCCAATTGGTTATTTCAAGAGGAAAAGGACAATTTTGCATAAAGTGACAAAATCATGACATACTCAATACATTATTTCTTTCATAAATGTAAAATATGGGCGTTTTTTAAATTTAAATCTGCAACCTGTTAGATTTAAACACAAAATGTCTGCAGAGTTAACAAGGATTCTTGTTTTTCTTTTGTCCTAAATAACAACAGTTAAGGTCCAGGTGCACTTTCAAAAGTTGGCAAACAAAAACAACTCCTCTGAATTCAAAACAAAAGCCCTGCAGTGTTTGATGTGTCCTTCACCAAATGTAAGATTTCTGAAGATCAAAGAGTAGATTAAAAAAAAAAAGTCCCAGCTTGATTCCCACAGGTGCTCCTCAAACGTGAGCATTTTATAGAAATGATGATTAAAATCTAAAATCAAAATTGACCTTTTTGTGATTTTTCCCCCCCAAATTCTCTAAAACTAAATGTTTTCATGTATCAATAGAAAAAAAAAATATTTCTGATCATTTTCCAGGCAAAACATATTTAACATTACATTAATCTGCAATCAACTATTTTTTAGTAAATTAAAGATAACTCCAACATATGATGTTTGTTAATTAGTCATAATAAATACGTTACAAGTTGTTCCTTGTTGGTGGGATTGTCATTGGTATCGACTTCAAACGCTGATCCATTTGTGAAGCTAGTTTGACAATCAGCTCTGTCTTCAGTTTTTCATGCAGTAAATGAATTATTTACATTTCAGGCTGGTCGCCACGAAAGGCATCAAAGTTCCTCGCAGGGATTTCCTGAAAGTCAACGTGAAAAGGACTTGGTAAGTGTTTCTTTTTCCAACCACAGTTGCTTTATTCAGTGCGCGACAGATTTATTTGTTCCACCATTTATGCAAAAGGTGATGCGAAGGGATAAAATGGAAAACAGTTCAGGTTTTATTAAGATGAGAAACAGAAATACTACAACTGAAAAATACAAATTGCAGATTTATATTAACCCTTTTGTTATGATCGGGTCAATTTGACCCGTTTCAATTTTTGAGTTGACCAAAGTGCAGGTTATTCTTATTTTTTTTCCATGAAATTTTGTGACTTTTTCTCATCTAGGGTCATGAACTTCTGAGTAAAATCTGGAGTCTTTGATGTGTTGAGGAGTGTCTGCACACAATTTGTGTACAAAGATGATGTTGAGGGTCATTTTGATCCACACATAAAGTAGCCGTTTAAATACAAAAAAAAACACATGCCTCTTTGATGTGATTGGTTTTGATTGCCTCAGAATAACTATTGAGAACCAGGTGTGTGTGGAGGAGGGACTTTCCCTTCCCTCTCCTTGTCACTTTTACATGCCCTTTCTTTGAGAGATAAAAATGAGCTCCAGAAGATTTACAGTTGAAGGAGCTTCATTGACGATTTTGAATTGGGATAGCGATGTCGACGAAGAAATTTCAGAGACGGAAGATCCTTCAGAGCCAGAGGACAATGCCGTTGATGATCCAGATTGTCATTTTTCCCAAGATGAGGAGGATTGCCAAAACAAAAAAAAAGAAAAATTAAAGACACACTTACGCCTTCCTGCACAGCGGTCAGTCACTGCAGTGGACAGCTGTCTGAAAGTCTTTTTCTTGCAGTGCGGCGTCATCCTGGTCTACCACCGGCAAAACTAATAAAATAGATAAAACTGATAAAATCACCTTTTTACACAGAGAGGTCAAGCAGAGTGCTTGAGCTTGTGGATTTTTATGTTATAAATGCACACAGACCACAAAAGTGGACACAAGTGCATCATAAATACACTGTCAGCTATTAGCCAACCACTGCAAGTTCAAAATAACATTGACGTCCAACGAAAAAGCATGTCGACCAACCCAGACCCTCCCTCTACTGTAGAGGACTCCTGCAGGTATAAGTAACCCCTAAAGAGCATTACTACTGATGTATTTTCCAAATATCAACTTTGTATTGGAGTAAATTACAACTGATCACCTAGAAAAAAATCCTAGAATTTTTTTAAAATTTATTTTACATTTTTTCCCCTATCTTTTTTTTTATGCCTTAAGAAAATCAAAAACACTGGGGAAAAAAAATCCTGACATGAAGGATCATAATTCATGCATGAAAGTGTCATGTGGCAACAAATGAGTCTAAAGTTGCATTAAAAAGCAGCGTTTGGAGAACGGAGCCTTGAGGAATCCCACATTCGATTTTCAGTCACAATTATAATTAAGGTGAAAGTCGGCTGGGTTCCTAAAACCAACCAAAGGACTGATGATGTTAACAAAGCTGTTGCCTTGGCAGTGATGACATCATGAACTACGTGCTGGAGAAGGTCGCCCCGCCTCAACCCGGCCTGCCGCCACCCCGCTTCTCCCTCTACCTCTCCTCACAGCTGCAGTACGGCGTCGTCCTGGTCTACCACCGGCAGTGCACCATCTTTCTGGGTAAGAAAAACTATAAAGCGTTGAAAAGTTTTGCGGAGGAAAACGGTGACAGAGCTCATGACAAACTTGTTCCCTTGCAGAGGAACTCCGGTCCATTCTAGGCCAGCTGTTGAAACAAAGAAGCTCAGGGAAAACCGATCTTTCCGTCAAAAGCAAGTATGAACATTTGCTTTAAGATAGTAAAATAAAATCCCATTTCTTCTTCTTCTGCTTTAAGTCCTGTTTTATTCATTCAAGGTCAGCTGCAGTTCTGCCTGATGCCCTGGTTCTCATGGAGGACACAGAAGGAGCTCCGGATCCTTTATTTGGACAGATGCTCCTCCAGGACACATTGCCCAGCCCGACGCAGCTCATGCAGGTGCCGATTGAGGGGAAGCAAATGCCGAGCCGATGCATGTCGCTCGGGATAACTGAGATTTTTTTCTGCCTTCTGCGTCAGATGAATTGGGAAACTCTGCAAGAATCCTTTCCTGAGCATCAGGAACGGAGCAGCTCGGCTACTTCTGCTTCTCCACATCTGGAAAATGGTTGGATTGTTCTTTGTGTGCAGCAGCTACTTTACTGGTGGTGGGAGGGTGATGGTTTGGTCACAGTGTCAGGAAGGAAACGTTCCTGACCTTCCATCATCTCATTTTTTCCTGCCGGATTGTGCGTCAGCCATGTTTAGTTAAACAATGAGTTGTGTTTTTTTTTTTTCCTCAGGCATCTCCGCTTCCCCAGAATCCATCACTCTGAGCGAGCCGGTACCCACCGCTGCCCCCGCCCCAGAGGTTTGCCTGCTGGCTGAAAAATGATTAAAAAAAAAAAAAACGCTTTCATTCTGAGTCTCACATCCTTTTTTTACCTCCTCTCATCTAGTTTGATGAGGAGGACTTCAATGATTATCTTCCAGAAACTCTTGATTTACTCCTGGACCAACCGGATCACTTCCAAGAAGGTTTGAGGCAGATCTTGTTTCTCAGCTGTATTGTAAGTTACCAGCTGCTTAATGAAGGAGCTGCTGCGTTGTCAACAGGAGGTTTGGAGCAAACACGAGGAGAGATGAGACGGGAGGAGAGAGAGAAGACGAAGAAAATGACTCCATCCATCTCAGAGTAGCGCCTCCCTCCTCGTGTACAAACACAAATGAGAAGAAACCAAATCCGACTGACTGTTTTATCTGTCAGCCTGCAGCCGCCCACCGTCTCCGGCAGCCCTGAGCTGCTGCCTGTGGAGGAGCCGGGCCCCTCCGAGAAAAGAGACCAGGTCACCCCGGTGTCAGCGCCCGGCGTCCCCTCACCGCCGTCTGCAGCGCAGCGACAACGCAGGTGCCCCGAGTCAGAGGTGTGTTCTCTCTTTTTGTTGTTGTTCTTAAAAACTGTTGTTTTTACTCCATCATAATTGCATGATTAAATACATCGTTATATGTTTTAATAAAGATGACCTACCATGCAAAAGTCACATTTTGCACATTTTATGCTTCCATTTTGATTTCAACTGTTTCTAAAAACAGCCCAAGTTCTTAAAAAAAACAAACAAACAGAATTTTTGGGAGGAATAAGTTAAAGTTTTTTGTGTTCTGAATGTAATGTCACAAATCTGCAATCACTGCCCATCACCTAGAAACCCAAGCTGAGGTCCACAACATCTGATCAGCTGGTTTTACCTCTGTAGGTGCTGTACAATGGCTGCTGGAAAAGACAAGTGGTTTGCGGTCGACTTACTGTCCAGAAACCACTTGCTGCATTCTTGCTAGTTGTACGGGAGGCTCCACTTCTACTTTTCAAAGATGTATAACCACTCATCTGTTTGCAGCTCTTTCCACCTCTGAGTACTGTAAACGTTGAGTTGGGGGCGTGGCCAGCAGCAGCTTACTTGGATTTAAAGTGACAAGACGCCGTAAACCATCTCATTCTGAAAGGAACTCAAATTAGACAGAACTGATCAGACTAAAATCTCATTATCTAAGAACGATTTTGTGCAAAATATGTAATGAACATGTTTTGTATAGACTGTGGATTTATTGTAAGCTGTTGAAGGAAGCATAATAGGTCACCTTTAAATCAGCCAGTCTTAGAGGCTGGTTTTGTTCCAGAGGAGCTAAATTTAAAGTGACAGTACCAAGAATCACCCCTCTAACAGAGCTGCTTATTTCAGAGTCTTTACACCTTGTGCATTTAATACCCATGATACTTAGTAAGCCATGAAAAGCCATGATGAAAAATGACACAAATTGTTTTCATTAGTTAAAATTTTTTCTTTGATCATCATAAAGTGGCATCCAACATTTCTTAGAACAAGAACATTTTTTTAAAACATATTCGAGGATGTATTGTTTGCCTTTCTCTAAATATGAGCATCCCATATTAATTGAACAGTTTTTGTTGTCTCACTAAAACATTGTGCACTTATCTTATGGTTGAGCAGGGAACACAAAAACACTTTATTACATTATTTTACAGTTTTACGGTGCTTTAGCGTTGCTTCTACGCTATAAATCTTCCCATCATCAATCATCTGTTTTTTTTGTTTTTTTTTTATGTTATGTCCCATTCCGCTCACCCCACCTGAAGGTCCAAAAAGAGGTGAAAAAGAGGAGGAGGAGGCAGCTGGTGTTCTTCGATCCGGAGACGCAGCTCTCAGAGACGGAGCAGCAGGAGCAGATTGAGGATCCTCTGACTGAGACCAGAGCGATGGCCATGGCCCCGCCTCCCTCTCACAGAGTCATTCCTGCCGCCGAGCTGCTCAGCAATCCCTGCAGCTGTCAGTGAAGCTATTTTCCACTTCATAATATCCAACACTTACTGACTAAATAGGTCTCTGTGTGCAGTACTGACTTCCTGTGAATTAAAGCTTTAATGAAAGTACTGAGCGTAGCTTTTTCCTGCGCTGCCGCTCTGACCCACACACTTTTATACCTACAGTCTTGCCTGAGGAGATTCTGTCTCTGTGGAGACGGGCGGCGGTCATAACGGCGCTGTCGGGGCCTGACCTGCAGGTCGGGGACAGGGGGCCCGAGTCCACCGACTCGGAGCGCGGGCGAGAAGGGGAGGGGATGCAGGAGGCGGCAGCAGAGGATCAGAGAGACGGTGAAATTTCCATCGAGGTGTGTTTCTGCTTCTGCTAATGAACCAACATGAATATTTGAGGGATTTTAAGTGTGTGTGTGCGTGTGTGTGTGTGTGTGTGTGTGTGTGTGTGTGTGTGTGTGTGTGTGTCTGTGTGTGAATGTAGGTCCAGAAAGGAATGGAGGAATCTGAACTGATGAGAATTTCAGGTGATGTTTGTTTTTTTTAACTCACTTTTCTTCACTATTCAGTAATAAATAGTTATTGAAATGACATTTCAATAAGTTACTTTTACCTATTTTTATGGTGGATGAAAACAGATTTGATTTTATTATAAAAATTTAAAATTCATCATTAAGAACATTATTAAATATTTTTCGCAGCTTTGTGGGAGTTAAGATCAGGTTAAAGGTCATGACTGACACTTTCCAGGCTTGAGCTTGTCAGCGCATGAAAACTGAAGGGTGTGTGTGTGTGTGTGTGTGTGTGTGTGTGTGTGTGTGTGTGTGCATGTGCGTGTGTGCATGTGTGTGCGTGTGTGTGTGTGTGTGTGTGTGGGTGTGTGTGTGCATGTGTGTGCATGTGCGTGTGTGTGTGTGTGTGCGTGTGCGTGTGTGTGTGTGTGTGTGTGTGTGTGTGTGTGTGTGTGTGTGTGTGTGTGTGTGTGTGTGTGTGCGTGCGTGCGTGCAGCCCCATCTCTGGAGGGATTGGACCAGCGGGAGACGTCTCGAGACATTTCTCCTTTGTACACATCTGAGAGAGAAGGGTGGGTGACAAGGAAACCCGTGTGTCTCTATTGGTGGGGTCTCGTATTAAGACGTGTCCCCCTGTGTGTGTCTCCAGGTCCACCATCTCCATGGTGCTGCAGGACATCCCAGAAGCGGTGGATGAGAGGACTGAAGAGTTGGCAGTAGAATCCCCTCGGTGCTCCTCTGGACCATTAAACTCAGCTAACTGGGTCTTTGTCCACATTCCACACGTTATTGTCGTGTCTCCGTCTTCCCAGGTTGCTGCCGGAGTTGGCGGACTTTGAAAACGAGCCGGTGCTTTTTCAGTCGGTTTTACCGTCCGGCGCCAGCCGCAGAACCGTCAGCTGCATGTTTCAGAGGCTGCTGGGTAACGAGTCGCCATTTCCACTCGCATCTCTCACGTTGAAGCTGGGATTATTTTACAGCTTTTCTGATCAATATGTGGCCTCTGGCAACTCTGCATGTCTGAAACAAAACCAGTTATTTGTGGTTAAGTTTTTTTGTTTAACATGATTCTGATTTCTCTATACTCCAAAACCACAAAATCTTACCAAGTTTTCGGTCTAGTTTCTAGTGCAGGTATCTCAGCACAGTGTCTTGTTACAGGTAAAATGATCTGCCAGTGGAAGTAGTATTTTTCCATCAATAATAAGGAATTACTGACTTAAAATAAGCTCATATTACTTGCTGACAGGTTGCTTGTAGGTTAATTGTGTTTTATTTCAAGTGTACTGAGATTTTTCCTCCAGAAATGCTTGGTAAGGTTTAGTGTTTTTGCAGTGTAAACCAAATGCAGTTCAGGCCACATAGAGGAAATTTGTCACATTTGTTGTTGACTTGTAACTAATTACATACATTTTCTTTTTCAGGCTTGAAAACTAACATTTATACAACAAAAACTTTGATGATTATTTTAAAGATAAGAGATTTGTGAACAAATCTGCAGGGTTTTTTTCTAATCCACACAGGGTGAACATTACGCTACCTAAAAGAAGACAAACCAGGCGACTCCGGAAACCTAAACCAGACACGTTTTCATTTTGTTTGCAGAGAATTTATCGTCCCAGAGGATTTCTGCAGAGCAGGAAGAGCCGTACAGAGACATCGTGATCCTCCCTGGACCCAGATATGAAGAACTGGATCTGCCTTCATAATCTGCTGCCAGCTGAGACTCTGAGGATTTCTGAGTTCACCTAATAATTCTGTTTTCAACCACTGCGTAGTTTTAAAAGTTGCATGATTTCTAATTCATCCGTTTATCATGTATTACCAGAATGAGTTTTGTGGTTTGAAAGTTCTTTTCTTGATTTAGCAATAGATTTGCATCAGTTCTCCGAGTTCCTGGTGGTTCTCGCAGGTTTTACGAACGACGTGAGATTCAACATGAATCCTAAATTTGATTTTATTGTTCCAGTGTTTATATTTGAAATCAAAGCTCCCCAGTTCTGTGTTCCTTTCAACAATAAAATGTATTTTTGCTGAATTTGTGCTGATTTTTCTACATGCCGGAGGATTTGTGGGGGAGCAGGCCGTGGGGCAGATGAGCCGAGCGACACTTGATCTTCCTCTGCTTCTTCACACATCTTAATTCTCCTCTGCAGACCCTGAGAGGCGGGCGGCGGGGGGCCTGTGACCAGTTTATTATTAGCGTCTGTCTCCGCTCGCCTTCGCTGTTTCTGTCGTCTCATTTCTGTCCGTCACTTTCCGTCTGTCTGTACTTCTGCTTTCTTCTGTTTTTCATGTGTTTTGGCTTTCTTTTTACATTTTATTATTATTTGTTCCTGAGTTTCTGTCTTTCCTTGTTGGCTTTCCTGTCAAGTTTGTGTCTTTCCTTCACTTCAGGTTTCTGTTGACAGCACTGGAGGCTATTTTTTACTTTCTAGATCCTCTGCTTGTTTTTCTTTTAAAGCCACTTATTTCATATTCATGGTGCTATCTCCAGTTATTTTTCTCTACGTAGCTCCTAAAGCTTATCAGCCGCCACTTTATCTGCTTCTCCTCTTCACCTTAAAGGAACATCACTCTATCTTCTTCTCTTCCTCTTGAACTCGTCCTTGCTCGTATCTGATCTGCAGCTCTGTGCGATGGGAAACAAGGAGCTGTTTTCTCTCTTGAAGGGCTTTCTGGACTGCATTTGTCTCCGCCTGTCAGTGAGTACAGTGGATTTATTTCACTTTTTTCATCTATCGGTCTCTCCTCTTCATTGGTCTGAGTTTAGTTTCACCTCAAACCAACAACAACAGACACAATTTAGGTCATGTGTCCACAAACTCCCCAGCTTTTCAAACACGTGTGTTTATGTGGATCAGTGTGACTTTTGTGTGCGTGTTTTTTGGCACGTTTCCAGCGCTGAGTATCTCTTTTGCTTACATGCTCAGCTTCTGATATTAATACCGGCCTCAGAATGGGGATCGAAATAGACGCTGGCCTCATCCAAAGAGACCAGAAGTCTCTAATTAGCCTCTTTTAGTCGCTGCTAACATTTCTGGGATCAACGGCGTAATGATTGACATCTAATAAATGTTTGACTCTGTTTGGGTTATCAGAGATATGGAGCTCTTTGTGTTAGGTCCATTGCCACATTTGAAGGAGAAATGCATTTGTAAATGCCAAATTACTTTTAAAAAAAACAACAAAAAAACAAGATTTGTCAACATTTGAATATTGGAAAAGGAGAAAGTTTAACAAAAATTTACCACGTCACAAAAAATGAACAATTTGGTTGCGATGTGTTCACTTCTGTGATTCACTAGATGCTAACAAATCATTTGGATGTCATTGCTCAGCGGCTTGAGATTTTCACATAAGTGAGTTAAGGCTCAAAAACAAGACAAACAACAATTTAATTTTACTTAATGAAGATGAAGACCAAGGAACGGTTTGCTCTCATGAAAAGGTTTTATCAATACATTTTGGCACAACCGGGCCTTTAAGAGCAGTCATGATCTTAATTTGGCCCAAAACGAAAATGAGTTTGACATGCCTGATCTAAATGTGTCCCAAAGAGCTTTAGGCAAGCATCACATCGATTAAAAAAGATAAAATGAGAGTTGCAGCTGTGATGAAAAGAGCGGAAACTTTTGAGTTTTGTGCAGAAACCAAACAATTAATAATTCAAAACAACAGGAATATAAAATACTACTTTTACGAAGGAATGTGCTGATTCCAGAATCCTTATTCCAGTTTGTTACACGGTGTTGTATCATATTTTGTTTTGTTTCGTTTTTCCACATAACATAAAATAAAAAAAGAATCAAAAACTCCTCAGATCAAAAAAATGGGATTTCAAATTTAGATCTCAGTAAAATATTCTGCATTTAAAATATTTCAGCGCTTTTTAGGAGTGAAGATTTTAGTAGAAACAAAAGAAAAACCCTGTAACGCTATAAACTGATCTCCATGCTTTGAATTGGCTGGATGTGAAATGGAGAACTTTATCTCCTGGAGTTGGATCGGTCTGTTCGTACTGAAAGCAGGATGATTTCTTGACTTTCTTCACAGCAGAGAAGCATCAACATTGACGCTGAAAAGGAGCGAGACTCTAAAAATGGCCACCTGATCTACGACAGCGGGGACATCCTGGAGGACAGATGTAGGTCCAGAACATCTGGCGGAGCGGGTTGCAGCTGGAGTCCAACGACACAAATTAATCTGACCTCCGTTTTCCAGATGAAGTGCTCGACACGCTGGGAGAGGGAACCTTCGGGAAAGTGGTGCAGTGTCTGGATCACAGCAGGTAGCTCCTCCTCTGACTTAATGCTGACTGGATTCAGTGTGTGAGAGTTTATGGGCATTAGTTATGAAGTAACACGTTGAAACACACAGAGGAGGAAGACCAGTAGCTCTGAAGATCATCAAGAACTTGGAGAAATACAGAGAAGCAGCCAAGCTGGAGATAAACGTTCTGGAGAAAATCCGGGCCAAAGATCCTGAAAACAAGCAGTGAGTTTAACACTCAGCTTATTATTGATGTTACAATTCAACATGATTCCTGTTTGTTTGTGTCCCTCCCAGTAACTGCGTCCAGATGCTCGACTGGTTTAACTTCTGCGGCCACGTGTGCATCTCGTTTGAGCTGCTGTCTCTCAGCACCTTTGACTTTTTGAAATCAAACAACTTCCTGCCGTACCCCATTCACCAGATCCGACACATGGCGAGCCAGATCTGCCACGCTGTCAGCTGTGAGTGCATCACACCCGTTACCTGTTTCATCAATAAGAGAGGAGGGAGATGTTTCACAGTGAGGTTGTACAAAAAACAAAGAAAAAAAAAAACAGAAAATATGTTTGATTACGCGATACAAAAGACAATGATACGAAAGTTTCTGTTTTAAATCTGCCGGCCTGATCAAAAATCAGTTTTTTCATGTCTAAGTTTCATTTAGTTGTTGCTGTTCCAAGTCCACAACTATTTATATAAATCGCTAATTAAGCCAAGCCACCAGAAGGAGATTGTAAGAATTGTTTTTCCCCCTCCATAGTGTTTTTTTTTTAGAGTATTTATAAGGAGTCAGTGTCTTACCTGACATAGATAGCAGTAAAAACAACTTTCCAAAAAATATTTACACAAATAAATGAGTTAATCAATCATTTCAAGTAATTTAGTATGCCATCACACTAACATATTGTAAAACTGATTAAATTTTAATGAAATATTGAAAAATGACATCATTAAGTAGATGCATATAGCAGCATCATGACATGTAGATCACTCTTTTGTTTTACAAATGTTATAAAGCTTACAAACAATGGATTTAAAGTGATTTAAATTGAAATTTGATACTACAGATGCATCTGAAAAATATATGTTTTTCCCTAGTTAGCAAATGGATCATACTAAATGAGTCACACTGACAGCAATGCTGTTCTTCAATGAAGTTGTTGGTGAGTGAAATATATATAAAGGAAGATGTTTTCAGTATCGGAGAGGTGTTTGAAAAAGAAACGAGAGGAAGCCCAGATAAGTATTAACATATTAAGACATGGAGCAAGAGAGAGCATAAACTCCAGGAAATAACAGGAAGGCTAAATGTATTACAGTAAATTTATATGATTCTCCCCTGAGAAAGTTGTTAATCTTTTTATTCAGGGATAAATTAAACAAAAACCTCTGGAGGTGCTTTTATTTAATTAAATAGTAATTAAATAAAATAACTGTAATAATAATAATAATAATAAGTACTATTATTATTAATATTATTATTATTTGGGGATACAAATGTTTAACAACAATTTCCTGTTCTGTATTAAGTAAAGATAAAATGACAGTATGATATTTAATTCCAACATATGACTATAACATCAGAATGACTGAGAACTAACAGGCAGAATAAGCTAGCTAGCTTTAAAATACTTTTTACTTTTGATAAATAAACACAAAAAAAGTAAAAACAATGTATTGTTTTTGATTATGTAAATAATAGGTGCAATATTTGTAACTCCTCTAACTCCAAATCAAGTGTTTTATGTTCACTGTAATGCCAGTTTAACCAAGATGAATGTATATTATTATTATTATAAATACCATTTATTTTCTTCAATTAATCTGACAGTTTGCCGTAGATTAAGAAGCCACCACCAGGGGGCGCTGGCTTCTGATATATGCATTGATCTTCTGTCCTGGCTTGCTCTCGTCCACAGTTCTCCATGACAACAAGCTGACTCACACCGACCTGAAGCCTGAGAACATCCTCTTCGTCAACTCCAACTACTCCCTCGTCTACAACGCAGACAAGGTGACAGTCAGCCTGCATCTTTTAAGGAGGCCATGTGGCGACAAAGCAGGGATTACCAGTGGCAGAACAACCTGAGAGTTTCCTTTGTGTTTTCTTATTTAAATGCAAATTTATCCCAGCAGCAGAGCCATGAGCCACCCACAGGAAGTCTCCTTTTAGTTACAGGTCTATCCGTCCAGACTGCAGGCTGTATTTGTTGCATACGGAGCAACATGTGGCATTTGAAGGGAATATATGGTAGAAACACGTTTTTATTAAAGCTGAAAAACAACAACCCTGATAGTGCAGCTCTAAGTTTTTCATAGAGTTTCACTTCATTGCAGAGCATGCAGAAACAGAGAACTTTGACCATTTCCCTTTGCACATCTTTTCAGAGTTCTGATCCTCTCTTTAGCAAATCTGATTAAAGCTCCTGAGACGGATAGAGGAAAGTTAATTTTGTATCTGCTGGTTTTGATTTAGTTTTATGTTTTGGATTTTATCTTGGTGAAAAACATAAATATAACTCATTCTTTCTTCTTATTAATTAAACAAATCTGTTGTTTTAAAGACTTCTTTAAGAAGATTCCCCTTGCCTTTGGAAAAGATATTGGCCCAGAGCATGACACATCCTCCTCCACACTTGTCAGTGGGCATGAAGTGCTTCTCCAAACCCATCTGAATATGTCTGATGTTGAAAAGCTTTGCTTCACATTTTTCCAGATGAAGCTTCAGTACTACGACGCCCCGTTGTTGAGTCTCACTCCAGCTGGTTAATGTCTG